CAAAAATATGCCTAGGACTTTTTTGCATTTTATGAGTAAGTTCATAATCTACACCTTCAAAAAATATTTTCAGGTGATGGGGAAAAATCTTGACTAACCAAGTTTCTCAATCTTTGCCTTGTGCTTTATGAGTAACTTCACCATGGCAACGTCCCCTTTACTGGCCGCTAACATAAGCGGGGTCACCTTCCCGTTGTCTGCATTCAAAGGTTTTTCAATGTCCACCCCGTATTTCAATAGTACCTCAACCACTTTCTGCAGAAAATTTGAAACAAAAATTCTTACACAATGTGTGTTAGGCCTTTATGTTTAACTTACATTTTTTTTTATTTTTTGAAAATTTCAACACTTCTCCCTTAATCACCAAAGTCTACCTAAACAAATGAAAAGTAAGGACAAATTTTCTCACTGAAGTTGTTTGGAACAAAACCGACCCCCGTACTTAGACCAACATACCTGATGACCATTCATAATGGCTAAGTGTATGGGGCACATGGAGGCTTTGTTTGGAGCATTCAATCCACCAAAACCATATTTGCCTACTGGTTCATCTGCAGACACTTGAGCTGTGGAAAAAAAGGAATAGAAAAAAACATTGATTATTCTGAAACACTGAGATGGTTGAAGTCATGAATTTCGACTTTTTTGGTTAATAGCTGCAAAATCTATATCTTGATTTCATAATATGTTTTGAATAAAAGATATTTGAGATGAATCAGTTGAGAGGTTCTTTGAGTATGTAGCAACTTAAAAAGGATTCTAAGCATAAGGTTGAATAAGTCTGGGTCTGCTGGTCTAAGTTAAAAAACTTGTCTGACTTTTGGTTGAAATAATTTGGCCTGCAGGTAATTAAGACAATAAATCCCAACACAGCCCACGTCACCTACCTTTTGCTGTCTTAAGCAACAAGTCCACATTGTGTTCACGGCCTGTTTCTGCTGCTATCAGAAGAGGATTGTAGCCTTGTTTGTCAATTTCTGATGTACTTACACCCCTTAAATTTAGATTTAATTCTAAATTTGAGTAATTTGAAATAAACTGAACTACAATGTAAAAGATTAAGAAACACTAGGGTAGCTTATCATAGCAAACCTTAGATAAACTACTACTACTTTGACTACTGTTACTGCTACTGCTACTACTTCTACTACTACTGGTACTGCTACTGCTACTACTTCTACTACTACTACTACTACAAGTACTACTACACTAGTACTACTACTACTACAAGTACTACAGTAACTACTACTACCACCACTCACTACGTAACAGCAGAACACAGTGCGCGTAGAAATAAGAGCTACACCCTGCACTTACTTTCCAATCAGATACTCCAGAGGTCCAGTGCCAGTGCATGCTGCAGCATAATGTACAGGTCTACGCATCTCGTGATCCATCAGGTTGTACTCAGGGGCGGCAGACAACAACTTGGCCAGGTATTTAGCATTGGGGTTGATGGCAGCACAGTGGATAGGAGTTATCTGAAGTTATTTTTTTTCTGTTAATATTTGAATAATTTGAAGAAGGCAAGCTAATTTTTGTCTTGAAGTAATGTTTTGAAGTTGACTTGCATTATGTTGTGTTTAAGAGACTGAGACTGCAGTGAATTTTTTAGGCTTAACTTAATTCAAAAATGGACCTGAAAAAATACTTGGATTAATTGTTTTAGATATATGGAGGTGAACACTGGAAAACAAAAGAAAGTATAGGTAACGCTAATATCCCTCTTTTATGACACTTCATGCCATCAGCTAGGTGCCTTTTTTCTTGAAAACCTATGCTAAGAATGGATGATTTGTTTTTCATTCTATAGATGTTTGCTGTACCTAACATTAAGTTGAATTATCTTATTTACAAAAAAGAAGCCCATTCAATTTTCTTACTTTCATATTTTCTTGATTTGCTTTCTTTTTGGCTGAGGCTTCTCTTATAGGTGCTTTCCAATCTTGCTTCCCATCAAAAGTCAGAGCCTGAAGTACAAAGTTAAAATAATAATTTTAGACATAAAGTCCACTTATTGATCATCAAGTTGGTATACTTCTTTTTTTTTTCAATTCAGAAATAACAATATTTAAGGCCAGTGCGAATCAAAATGCAAGTAAAACAGTGCAAAAAATTATTATTTTAAAGAGACAGTAATTATATAACACAGACATAGGTGCAAAGATTGAAAAAAATGGCACTTCTGACAGAACATTTTAAACAAAATCAAAATTTCTTAATTTCTTATTTTTATTATTTAATGGCAATAAAAAACTAAATCCTTTTCTATTAAAAATTCTAAGCAGATTTTTCTATAATTCACTGTAATTCTTCACAGTCAGAAAAACACATTTGGTCTTTTTTGGAACGATTTACTTTTTTCATCAATTTAAAATTTGATTAAAAAATTAGCAATTTTTCATAAATTACCAAGTTATAGATTCAGCAACCTTAAAAGGAAGAAAAACCTCCATTGCTCACAATTATATTGAAGACAAAACACTCACTTCTTTGTGGAAGTTACTGAACCCTCCTATGGCATATCCTCCTTGGTTGTCATACTCCTCCATCAACTTACAAGCCAACTTGTTATGACCGTGTCTCACAGCCATGTAGATATGTTCAAAAACCTCATTTTTCTAAAATTCAGAATCGGCAAGTACTAAGAATTCAATTCATATGAAACATGGTAAAAACAGCAATGTTTCCTTATTTTATTTATACTTTCAACTTAATGATTAATTGCAATTTACAATAACAGATGTTGATAGGAAAAAAAACTTTGTTAAAATTTGTCTATTAAAAAATCCCGTTTCAGCCTGAAAAAGCTAACAGAGTGAGGAATGCCCTCTTTAAGGAGTTACAGATTCTCTTACATCTAAAAACTTGTTGACCATTAAAAATGTCAACATTTCTGCGGAAACACCATGCTTCAAGACAAATGGCAGCAGTTCCTCCTCATCATCATCTTTATCTAGATCCTGCAAGATAAATAAATAAATAAATAAATAAATAAATAAATAAATAAATAAATAAATAAATAAATAAAGTAGGAGAAAAGTAAAATCAATAACTAGCCTGGTGTTCTTATTTCAAAGTTATTTCCAAAGAGTTATGGCAATTCAACCTTTAATAATTGAAAAATGTTTTGGAAATAAAATAACCTGATATCACTGTTTACAGAGAAAAAAAAATGATTTGGTGGGTATTTCTAGCTCTTACACTTATCTAAAACACAATTTTACAAGATCAGGCCAAAATCAAAGGCATGCTTTTCTACCATGCATGATCCATTTGTGTCAAATAAAGTCTGAAGTCTTACCGACGGTACAGAGATAAAGGTTGGAAACAGAGAATGCTAAAAAATAATGGAAAACTACTTTTCTCGTTTGACTTCTGTGAAGGCTTCCTCCATTTCTTCCCATTTCAAACAGAAATAGCATTTTTCTCAATTTTATTGCCAAGTGTAAAAATGCAGAATCTCCCAAGGATGAGATACAAACTGGGTTGCAATTTTCTGCATGGTTTTGGAGATAAAAAAAGAAAAAAGAAAGAAAAGACTTACTTTGGTGAAGGCATTGTTTCCTTCTTTTCCTCCACGACTCATATTGAGTCTTCTGACAGCTCGGATCCCCAAGGAGCGACGGTTATAGCTGATAATAAAACAAAAATATCACATCACTTTTACTTTAAATGCTATCAATTTCAAATACTTTTTTATTGAAAAATAACTCTATCATTCCTATAGTGTTGTCCATTTGTAAATTAACTTATTCATTAGTCATTATCAATAATACAGACATACCATGCATGTTATATATTATGAGAATGACTAAAAAAAACCAGGAACTTATAACTCAAAAAATGGTTTTATTTATATAGGTTGTAATTTTCTGGATGGTTTTGAGATGGTTTACCTTGATAATTAAGGGAAGAGTTGAACTGCCCAGGAAGGTTAATATTTTGTTATTTAAAAGACATGCTCACTATGTACATTAATGTAATATTCCTAAAATGTGTGATAAACCTAATAACAGAATATAATTAACATTTCCAGGAAAAAAACTTTTGTTATATAAAGGTCGTCTATTCAGCCTTGAGTGCCTTACAACAGTGTACCATACTTTAGAGCCAACCGTTTTTTTCTACATAATCTTCACTTTTTGGGAGCAAAGGTGAAGTAAATTCAATAAAAAAGTCTTCACACTTTTCACTATCACATCATAACAATAAAATAATGACTGCTGTAATTCACTATTTTGAACCCCTGTCTCAACACATGGGATTCAAAAAAAAAAAAAAAAAATCAATGTGATGCTTTACAGAATTCCTTGCAAATATTATATGTAGATATAGAGAATTTTTCAAGTACTCACTATCCTGTTCCCTGTGTCTTGAGAAAACTATAGGGTTCACACACTCGTGATGGAGTGGATTCATGAAGTTCATTTCCCAGGATCTTGAGCGCCTTCTGGTTCCCTTTCAGGATGGCGTAGTGTACAGCAGACCAAGGGACCTCCAAGCTACGAGGGCATGATACCTATATGAAAATTAAACAAACTTACAAAAACTTTTTTCAACATCAAAGTCATTTAAAGAAAAGAATCACATTATATTTTGTTTTTAAACAAAGCCTACCTGTTATATGATAGAAAAAAATAATTAGTTTGATTTCGTGGTACAAAATGTCTTGTAAAATAGAATTTTTGTCTTGAGTTGATACTGCATTTAACCTACTGTTTTTAATTACTAAGCATCCTGGCTGACAATTTTTCAAAGTTTTTTTTTTTAATTCCAAGTTTATTTGTTTGCTTACAGAGTGCACTTGCTTGCGGTCATCTACTAACTGTTGGAGTAGTTTCATATCGTTCATCAAAACAGCTCTGATGACTAATTTACTATGTGCCGTGGAAGATACAAAGGGCACATTCTCTCTGAAAAGGTAACCACAAGAATAATGAATTATTTCTCAAAATAAAAAAATCAACAGAAAAAATTAAGTGTTCAAGATTTAGGGTAGTTAGACTTTTGTTTGGACAGAAAAGTGTCTCCCAAATCAAGTGACAATGAAGAACATGTGTCACTTACTTTGTCTCAAACAGGGGATCTTTTTCCCAGACTTTGATAGCAGGGTTAGGTTTCAGCCGGCGGTTAGGATCAGTAAGGTCGACCTTGACCTTAACAGCCTTGACCTCCTTTTTCTTCTTTTTGTCTTTATTTTTGGTATCTGCGGATAAATATACAAAATTAAAAACCCATATTTCAACAGATAAAAATCCCGAATATAATTTTTATATAATAATAATAATAATAAATCTATAATGTTTATTTAATGTTACTAGTATTCATATTGCAAATATCACTTAAAATTATTTAAATCACCAAGACTGTGGAGAAAAATCTACTTCTTCATAAAAACATTGCTTAACATAACCAATACAACCTACACACCTGACATTTTTTTTCTAAAAATGAATAATACATTGACACCCTGCTATTCACTTTTCCAAAAAAAAAAATAATAATAATAATAAATAAATAAATAATAATAATAATAATAATAAAAATAATAAAAAAAGTGTAATGTTTTTTCTGACATTTATACTGATATGAAATATCTTTGTAAAAGAGAATAAGACCATTACCCTTCTTCTCCTTCTTTACTTTCTTCACTTTTGTGGACACAACTTTCATTTTACGTGCTTTCTTTTTTATTTTGTCAGCAATTTTCTCATTTTTGGTGGTCTTCTTGGCCTTAGGTGTCGGGGGATCTGTCACATTTTCCCTTTTAACAGTCTTTTTAGGAACTGAAATTAAAAAAAAAAAAAACATCAAATCAATGTCTAGGTCTATAGGCAAACAATATTTTTGGTCAAATGTGATAATTTGAAACTGATGATTAAAGTTACTGACCTGATGTATCTACTAGCCATAGAATGTTACAGATTAAATTTGATTTGGTCCAATTCCCAATGTTATACCAATATTTCAACTAGTTTGCAGAAACCACTATTCTTTATTCAGCAGGATGAATGAAATTTTTTGGTTCAATTAAACTTGGCACCACCTGCCAAAGCACTATATGAGCACACAAGTAGATATATTAAAAATAAAGAAGCTGAAAAGCATTACACTTAAAATCAGACAGGGAAGCCATTTGCCAGAAAAACAGTTGAGCTAGGATACAGATATCTAAACACTAAACAACCAAATTAACTTATACTACGTTGGATGTTGAGAACTGAAGAATAAGAGGTGTATATGGTATGAGAACTGAAGGATAAGAGGTGTATATGGTATGAGAACTGAAGGATAAGAGGTGTATATGGTATGAGAACTGAAGGATAAGAGGTGTATATGGTATGAGAACTGAAGGATAAGAGGTGTATATGGTATGAGAACTGAAGGATAAGAGGTGTATATGGTATGAGAACTGAAGGATAAGAGGTGTATATGGTATGAGAACTGAAGGATAAGAGGTGTATATGGTATGAGAACTGAAGGATAAGAGGTGTATATGGTATGAGAACTGAAGGATAAGAGGTGTATATGGTATGAGAACTGAAGGATAAGAGGTGTATATGGTATGAGAACTGAAGGATAAGAGGTGTATATGGTATGAGAACTGAAGGATAAGAGGTGTATATGGTATGAGAACTGAAGGATAAGAGGTGTATATGGTATGAGAACTGAAGGATAAGAGGTGTATATGGTATGAGAACTGAAGGATAAGAGGTGTATATGGTATGAGAACTGAAGGATAAGAGGTGTATATGGTATGAGAACTGAAGGATAAGAGGTGTATATGGTATGAGAACTGAAGGATAAGAGGTGTATATGGTATGAGAACTGAAGGATAAGAGGTGTATATGGTATGAGAACTGAAGGATAAGAGGTGTATATGGTATGAGAACTGAAGGATAAGAGGTGTATATGGTATGAGAACTGAAGGATAAGAGGTGTATATGGTATGAGAACTGAAGGATAAGAGGTGTATATGGTATGAGAACTGAAGGATAAGAGGTGTATATGGTATGAGAACTGAAGGATAAGAGGTGTATATGGTATGAGAACTGAAGGATAAGAGGTGTATATGGTATGAGAACTGAAGGATAAGAGGTGTATATGGTATGAGAACTGAAGGATAAGAGGTGTATATGGTATGAGAACTGAAGGATAAGAGGTGTATATGGTATGAGAACTGAAGGATAAGAGGTGTATATGGTATGAGAACTGAAGGATAAGAGGTGTATATGGTATGAGAACTGAAGGATAAGAGGTGTATATGGTATGAGAACTGAAGGATAAGAGGTGTATATGGTATGAGAACTGAAGGATAAGAGGTGTATATGGTATGAGAACTGAAGGATAAGAGGTGTATATGGTATGAGAACTGAAGGATAAGAGGTGTATATGGTATGAGAACTGAAGGATAAGAGGTGTATATGGTATGAGAACTGAAGGATAAGAGGTGTATATGGTATGAGAACTGAAGGATAAGAGGTGTATATGGTATGAGAACTGAAGGATAAGAGGTGTATATGGTATGAGAACTGAANATGGTATGAGAACTGAAGGATAAGAGGTTTATATGGTATGAGAACTGAAGGATAAGAGGTTTATATGGTATGAGAACTGAAGGATAAGAGGTTTATATGGCAAGCACGTGTGTGTACACCAGATACACCATTTCCTAGTCTTCTGTTCTCAATATCTGTTGTAAGTAATACAAGTCAGATACAGCATGTGTCAGTAGGGTATGTGTAAAACACACCTGACACATGCTTTGCTCTCATATATACACCTTTCAGACTATGATGCATCTTGTATCTATTACATATTCACAAACAATCTGACATTCACCGGCAGAGGGAGGGAGAGAGAGTGTGTGTGTGTGTGTGTGTGTGTGTGTGTGTGTGTGTGTGTGTGTGTGTGTGTGTGTGTGTGTGTGTGTGTGTGTGTGTGTGTGTGTGTCTCTCTCTCTCTCTCTCTCTCTCTCTCTCTCTCTCTCTCTCTCTCTCTCTCTCTCTATATATATATATATATATATATATATATATATATATATAACTAGTCATATTAAACACTGACCTTTGACTGTATTTGATGTTGATGCCTTTGGGCCTCCCTTGGGTATTCTGGCTCTCTTTTTCATTGGTTCATCTACATGTTAAGACAGCAAACAAAGAACTTTGTATAACGTAATATGTATCTGTTTGTGCTGCAGAACTGAATTTGTCTTATGGCTTTATAGTCATTATCTTGAATGTTATAATTCTTTGTGTACCCTTTATGCATTTCAAAAAATTCAATAATATATGTCAGTTTTATTTCAAATTCTTGCTCAGGTTAAAAATACCTAAAATGAATAAATAACAGTACAATAAAATCACCTTTTTTAAGTTCCCACAATAGTAACAACACCTACCTTCATCATCTATGTTGTTCGATGCTGAAGAATTTCCAAGGACCATATTAAGCACTGAGCTGATACGCCGTTCTTCCTTATCTGGCAGCCGATAGACCTCTCGTGACACGTACTCCAGCTTGACTCGGCACACTATACACTCTAGATCCACTGTGTCCATATAGTCCAGCTTATAGACATTGCCCGTTCCATGTGTGCTCAGCCACAGTACCTTGATGGGTTTGGTGAAATTGTGAAAGACATGCTGCAGTGCTTGGCAAAGGTAAAAACTACCTGTTTGTAAAAAAGAAATAAGTGTAAACATGGGAAAATTTGTACCAACACCCAAGATCATTAAATGTTAAATGATTCCTATTTTTGCTATGGGCCAGTAGATTCTTAGACCATTTGTCAGCAGGTTACAAAGTTCTTGAAACAGACTGCGATGTCAATTATAAAGGGACATATATACTAAAACTGAAGTTTTTAGTTTTACCTTCCTCATTTCTCACTGCAAAGAATGAGCCTTTCTTGTACAGCAGCACCTCCTGGCTGCCACTGTTGGCTGGCCTCTTCGCGGGGGTTCTGGGAACTTCCTCAGCAAACTGGAACGGCTCATGTTTTACTTTCACTCTCTTGCTGCTGCGTGGGGTCTCTGGAGCTGCAGGTCGCTTAGGACTCTTTGAAATAATAATATTAATGATTATTTTAATTAACAGTTATATTAATTTTGAGATACATTGTGTTATGTAGTTTCAGTTTTAACATTTAACATTTTCAGTTTTCATCCTTTTTTTTTAAATGACAGATGAAAAGTTAATAAATGAAGGCATGAAAAAACACAATCATTTTTGTTACACCCAGCAACTTAAAATTGATCCTTTTTTTTAGAATAGTCTTTTCCCTTTGTTCAAAATTTACAACTCTGACTGAAGGACCAAAGTTCATAATCTCCAATTCTAATATGAATATCAATATTGATCTGATAGATAAGAATGAGATTCATTTATAACAAAATATGATGCAGGTTATTTTACAATTCACTTGAATGCATTTTCATGCGGTTCTTATATATTATGGGTAAATTTACCTTCAACTGTTGGTCCTTTGTCTTCATGTTATAATTCTGTTACAATTGCTACAAATAAAATATAGTGAAAAAAATTATGTGAAAAGCAAAACATACATGTACTAGTAAAAAAAACTGATAAATCAGATGATCAGTTAGGTGTCAATATTTGCAAATGTCATAGGAAATATATTTACAAAGAGGTTTCTTTAACCACTGACTAGTATACATTAAATGGATCTGATTCAACAGTTTTGCTTGTAAATATTCATTTTATAGGGGTGGACATAAGCCGTCGTCTGGGTCTGCCGGAAGACGGTCAGATTTTTTTTAGTTCACATTGATGGGCATTAATTTTTTTCTGTCAGGATACATTCCAAAATGGAGGATGCTTCAACAAAGATAATTTGGAAGACTGTCAGGAAATATCTCTGGATCTGCTCCTGTTTTGTCCATTTCTGCAGCATTAAATTCTTGGCCAAATATCAGGAAAAATTCTTAATATTTAAAAAAAACTATAACAGAATATTGTCAAGGTTTCTATGGGTGTTATCCTTTGACATCTATTCAAATATTACCCTACATTCATACTTCTTGACTCAATTAGTAAGAATTATTCTTTCCACTTAAATTTTGTTAGTCAGGGTCTAAAAAGATCATTGCAAATTGTACTTCAAGCCTGGGCCAGTTTTACAAAGACTTTAGGCAAAAAATAAGTGTAGCAATATCTTTTAAAGGATTGACATGGAATATGGCCATGGTTTCTTGTTATAAAACAGGCACAATGCTGCAGTTTTATCTAATTGGATTATTACTGATTTATCTGACATCAAAGTAAACAAACATATTGGTCTAAAATCAAGGCCTAACAGTTCTTATGTGAGACAGCCCCATCAGGAAAAGCTAGTAAGCTTTATTTGTACAATATCTTTTAAATCACCTTTATTATGCAAAGATCTCTAACACAAATCTACAGTGTGTTATGGTAAATGATGGGCAATTCATACACACAGAAACAAAGCAGGCTTTGAACTGGTTTAAAAGATGCCACTCAAACCAGATAGTCAACACCCCAGCAGAAGACCACCTAACAAAATAGAAACTCAATGAGACAGTGGACTGAAGTTGGGCTTGCAACCAACTAACCACCGCGATAGCCTATCTTGAAACATTTCAGGAATCCTTTGATTTTTTCACTATTTGAACACACCACATCTTTGTTTAGTACGTACCAGCAGGATCTATCTACTAGGAATTGCAAATCATTACTTTGCAAATGAGGCTGAAATGTATCAGTGATGCTTTAATTAACTTCACTTTTGGCCTTTAAATAGTTAGTATGTCATAATTCCTTTCTTTCTTTCTTTTTTTTTGAAAAAAAAAAATAATAATAATAATGCAACCTGCTGCCTTAGACAGTTGATTGAAATATGAAACCCAGCGCTTCATAAATTGATGATAACTTATGGCTGGTACCCAATGAAATTATCATTCTACATACATGTATATCGATCCAACTCTCGCTGAATGCAATCAGATTAACAGACTGACACAACTTCTCTTGCTTCCAACTCGTGTATAATCACCACCTTTTGTGTATTCTTCTCAATGCCAGTGACCCCAGAAGAAAAAAGATGTGTTTGTTTTTATGGTCACAACTTTGTGCAACCTCTGACATTTAACTGAAAAACTAAAACCCAAGGCTTCCTAAATTCCTGATATTTTAAATTCCAGTGACCCCAAGCTGCCTAGCTATCTGATGTGCCATGATAACACTAGTACACTGAATGAAATCACGGGATACATACCATAGGAAATAATAATACTTTATCTAGTATACTTGAGTAAAGTAAACAGAGGAGGATACAGTGGAGGCCACGTGTCCACCTAAGTGCTTATTATATAATAATTTAAACTAATCGTTTAAAGAGCATAATTAAATAAAGAATTATGTCAATTAATTCTTATATATATATATTTTAATTATCATTATAATAATTATTATCATTACTGCCTTTGTTTATATTTGTTTTGTGATATGATTTTTTAATTTACTAAAAATCAATGCACACACACACACACACACACACACACACACACACACACACACAC